AAATATTGTGGGACAAATGGTAAGTTATGTTCCAGAAACTGATTTCAGTTTGAAGGTAATAGTGACTTTGACCTTTGACCTTGTGATCCAAAAATCAATAAGAGTCTTCTACCAAATATGGACAATCATACTATGAAGTTAAAACACAGTTGGCCAAATGAAACTAAAGTTATGCTCAGGAAACTGTTTTCAATTTTAAGGTAAAAGTGACCTTGACCTTTGACCTTGTGGCCCAAAAGTCAATAGGGGTCTTCGCCTTAATATGGACAATCATCCTATGAAGTTTGAACATTGTGTGCCAAATGGAACTTAAGTTATGCTCCAGAAACTGTTTTCAGTTTGAAGGTAAAAGTGACCTTGACCTTTGACCTTGTGATCCAAAAATCAATAGGAGTCTTCTTCCAAATATGGACAATCATACTATGAAGTTAGAATACTGTGGGCCGAATGGAACTTAATTTATGCTCTGATAAACTTCTTTCGGTTTTAAAGCAATAATGACCTTAACCTTTGACCTTGTGATCCTAAAATCAATAGGGGTATTCTACCTTATATGGACAATCATACTATGAAGTTAGAACACTGTGGGCCAAATGAAACTAAAGTTATGCTCAGGAAACTGTTTTCAATTTTAAGGTAATAGTGACCGTGACCTTTGACCTTGTGGCCCCAAAGTCAATAGAGGTCTTCGCCTTAATATGGACAATCATCCTGTGAAGTTTGAACATTGTGTGCCAAATGGAACTTAAGTTATGCTCCGGAAACTGTTTTCAGTTTTAAGGTTATAGTGACCTTGACCTTTGACCTTGAGACCCCAAAATCAATAGGGGTCTTTTCCCCAATATGGACAATCATCCTATGAAGTTTAAACACTGTGGGCCAAATGGAACTTAAGTTATGCTCCGGAAACTGTTTTCAGTTTTAAGGTTATAGTGACCTTGACCTTTGACCTTGTCATCCCAAAATCAATAGGGGTCTTGTACCTAATATGTACAATCATTATTTGAAGTTTGAATATTGCGGACCAAATGGAACTTAGGTTATGCACTAGAAACCAAATTGCTAACGGACGGACGAATTCTGGTGTTTATGTGCTTTTTCTTTGATCTTTATATGGCATTTTCCCCCATAAACCAGTAAGATCACTACATAAACCAGTCGGTTTATGTGATTTCCTTCTGTTTTTAACTAAAATTATGGACGGAATGACGCTTAAAGACCATTGGATCTTTTCGCCCGGACAGACAGACGGACGGACGCCAGTGGTATAACATAATATGCCCAAAATTCTTTCGGGCATATTATAAGGAAGAGAATAAAAAATAATTTAACTTATACATTTGAATTTATCTTGTTATAATCAAAACTTATACAATGGAAATATTTAAATCATGAATGGTTCAAAAAGGCTTTAATTACATAGTATTCAATATAATTATAATAAATCGTTGAACAGTCTCAGAATAGACCGCTAACTGATTATAAGATCAGATTATATAAAGAAGTAACAAATTTGTATTATTTGTAACTAATGAAGTATGTAACAGTTAATATATTGAACAACATTGAGATCAATGTGGCATCTTATTGTCTAAAATTGGCTTAAGTGGGTATTGGAACTAATTAACTAAAGATTATTGTTCAATATATATTGACTCGAAAAAAGCTTTGTATTCAATATAATGTTGTATTGTTCTGAATATTTCTATAGCGAAGAGTAGAATACATAGATCCCTGACCTGCTTATCACAACATATTTATAAGCAATGAGCACATGCCAATTTTTGTGGCTAAATTTAACATTGTGTATAGTTATTTAAATAAAAAAATGTCGTTATAAGGGGTTAATAAATTTACAGGATTCATTTTGAATATAATCTCTTTTTACACTGCATGTTGCCTTATATAATCCAAAATCGCTTAAAACAGCTTTGAGGAAATTGTCTACCTTATCTTAACAAAAATAGTATCAAAACAATAGGCCAAATATCTTCGGAAAGGATAAAAAGAATAAATAAGAAAACAACAAATTTACGAGGTGTCGATATTACAACACGTTTAACATTTAGAAATGTCAGATACTAATTTACGCTCTTACACTACATACATATCTGAAGAATACAAAATAGCGATCCATCGGAAGCAGTACCATCAAAATTACACGAAAATTGCAGAATTGGTTTGATTGAGTCAGTTTATCAGGGATAATAAACAAATGCAATTTCCCTCACACGCACTAAGACCGGCTTATGAAGTACTCAATTTTCAACACTTATAAGTGCTGTATATCAATGATCCGGAGGGATTATAAAATAAAACAACACTAGAGTGAAGTACGCCGCAACTTTTTACGACTGTCTCACGGCACTTAACACATAATTTTCAGTGTTATTTACATGTATATGTAAGCAGCCGTTGAATATATATGAATATATATGAATCTACGACCACAACTGACAACACTTCCAAGATAAATATATCGATCATGTGTAAAAATTGTCAAATTTTATGTAATTTCTCAGAAGTTTTATTGGTCTTAAATCTATAATTGACATTGGTATTAATAAGATACTGTATTTACATGTATATGTAAGCAGCCGTTGAATATATATGAATATATATGAATCTACGACCACAACTGACAACACTTCCAAGATAAATATATCGATCATGTGTAAAAATTGTCAAATTTTATGTAATTTCTCAGAAGTTTTATTGGTCTTAAATCTATAATTGACATTGGTATTAAGATACTGTAATGTTTGCACGAGGAGAACAAGTATTTGATAGAATGCAAATGCCTCCAAATGCTAAAATATTTCAATAAAATCAAACTTAAAAAAATATTAATATTTAAGTAAACATTGACATGTTATATGTGTAAATGACTGACGTTTAAATATTATGACTTTATTTCTACTGCGTTACTAACGCAGTAATGGCTATTTGGCACTTTTTTTTATTTCATTTTAGTAATTTACGTGAGTTGTAGTTGCAATTAATTAGGCGTCAATTCCTTCCTTTTGGTCACTACACATTATTAAACGTTTACACATACATGTATTTTAAAAAAATTCATGAAAATTAGCATTAATCTGGAGGCATGCTGCTTGTTCTAGTTACACTTAAGTGACAGGATCTTTAAGAATGCGATATATCAATGAGAATAGGTGTGTTGCAAGCTAAATAAGTAAAGACCTCGCTTGGAATTGCTTATAGGCCGTGTAGAGTTATGGTCAAGGTCGCAAGACCTAAATTGAAATGTTTGCTATGTTATAATTCACTGTTACTAGACCTGGATTAAGAAATTAAATAATTTAATTAAACTTGTTGTATAGCATTTCTTTTCAAAACCTCACTTTGGATTGCTTTTAAGGACCATTGGATCAAGGTCAAATACACTGTAACTAAAAACAGAAATTTGAGACTTAAAAGAAAATCAGTTTATAGCATGCTCATGTGATTACCTCACTTATGATTGTTTGATTACACTATATCAAGGTACTAAACAATATTTCATATTCTCTTGTGTAATTACAAAATGTTTGCCTATTTTTCTTGTTTCTTAATTATTATTTATATTGAACAAAGTTAAATCGGACGTTGCTTGTATTTGTATTCCAACCAGAACAAAACTTTCTACAATCATTATGATGATATTTGAAAACCTGATTTCGTTACATGGCCATGTTTCATGTATAAAATATAGGTTTCATGAACATATTGTTTTAGAATCATTATTTGATCATAATGGAAAATAATAAAGGTATCATTATCATATGCTTTTACAATTACAATGTACAATAGAGACATGATGGCTCTGAATCGCTCCCCATAAACAACTGTTTTACAGTGTTAGAAATGATTTTAAATACACTTGCCAAAAAACAAGTCCAGCTCACATTTAAATTGTAACTTCTAAAGGGGCCAATCAAATCAAATTGAGTAAACTTGATAAACAACCAGCTAAGACGAAGCTTGCTGGTCAACCATAAATTATTTAAGTATAATCTATTTTAATGTTTTTTTTTTTTAATGTCTTTTTTTTTTAGCTCTTGAGGCACCTAAATGGGGTAAATCACATAAATGTGAGCACACGTGAGGAAAAAACATCTACGAAAGTTGCAAACAAACTATTGTGATAACCAAGGTATCTGGTTCAGTAGAAGAAGTAGTTTACATATTTTTTCTATTTTCCGTTCTAGTAGCCCCTAAAAGGGGATAATCAAATTAATTTTGAGCAAAATTGTTAAAAAAAACCCTCTAAGAATGCTACAGACAAAGTTTGGTGGTCATCCATTCATCAATGAATTCAGTCAAAGATGTTTAAATGATGTTATTTTTTCTGTGTTTAGCTTTAGAGGCCTCTTAAAGTGGTCAATCAAATTTATGTGAGCAAATCTGATAAGAGACTACCTGCAGACAAAGTTTAGTGATCATCCATCGATAAGTTCAGTAGAAGAGGATGTTTAGAAGTCTTTTCCTATTTTAGCTCTATATATGAGCAAATTTGCTTAAACAGTACCTAAGAATGACACAGACAAAGTTTGGCGATCAACCATCAATTAGTTTAGTAGAAGAGGGTGTTTAAAGGTTTTTCTATTTTTAGCTCTAGATGCACATAAAAGGGGCCAATCAAATTTATATGAGCAAATTGGATAAAAGACTACCCAGGAATAATACAGACAAAGTTTTGTGATCACCCATCAATTAGAAGAAGAATGTGTGTAAAGTTTTTTTTCCAATTTTAGCTCTTTTAACCCCTAAAAGGGACCTATTGAAATGATATGAGCAATTTAAGTGTGACTTTCACAAGAATGCTACAGACCAAATTTAAGTAAATTTACCCAGCAGATTCAGAGATGAAGACAAATGTTGACGCATGCCGACGGACGACAAACGGCAATCGCCAAAGCATCCTTCTTTGAAACTTAAGGCTTACACTGAACCCTCGGTTCTGGTGAGATAATTATTGGGTGAAAATAAAGAAAACAACATACCGAAGCCATTCTGAAAGAGAAAGAGAAAACAGATTTATATTTGTGACCTTTTAGGCAAAATATCCGAGAAACCTAAACGTATCTACTTAAGTTAGCACCTGGGTCAGATATCTAAAAAAAATTTGCTCCTCTAAAATGTTTTCAACAAGAAGCAAATGCATGTTCTAATTTGTGATATGGTTAAACAAAAATAAGCACGTTGCATATGATTATTAATTATATAAGACTTAAATTCATTTTACTGATACACAAAGGTAAAATTAAATAAAATCCGACCCTGATTCAATCTTCTTAAATATTCTGTGAGAAATTTTTGATGAAGCTTCAAATTATCTGCAATAAAAAAAATGAATGTGAGACTCAGTGAAACACATCTTGACCTTAAATGCAAAGCAAGCAAACATTTTCTTTATTAACAAATATTTGAACGGTTTTGTACGGTTTCATTAGGATTCTTATTTTCACGTCTTAATAAAAGAAATAAACAACTAACAAAATGACTTACCTGAGAAGCCTTAAAGTTAAAGATTTAAAATGTATATAAAATCTATATTAATCTTCTATTATCCAATATACAGGTGTAAATGTACACAAAACGGATCATACAAAAGACACACATCTCGTGGTAGCCTTGTACAAATAATGTTTTCCAATACTTCAATATTTTTGAAGTGTATGGAATTCCTTTTGTCCCAGGTTTTTTGATCAATCTTATAAATTAACTGTGCGTGCAAGTACCTGTTTTGCGTTTCATATATTCCTTTAAGATTTATTGTTAAAAATTAAATTTTGTTTGCCTGATGAACTTTGGAATTCATTTAGGAAAGGGTATGTAAAACTTCTTTTCTATTTTTCTTCTTCTTTAAATTTATCTCTTCGCAAAGCATTCTTTATAAATTGCAATCGACGAATCATAATACAATGCATTGTAAACGTAACAGCTGAGCTCAGACTAGGGTAGAAATGCATATCAATTTTTCATAATAACACTTCTAATTTGATGACAAACAAGTAAAACATGTTCCCTAGATTATTTTTTCTAAATTGGTGATAATACCACATGTGTACAAACAACTGGAAAGTTTAACTCTTTATACAAAAATTTGTTGGTCTATCGGCTAGATATTCGTAACTAAAACGGTAAAATTTCAACTATTAAAGTGTTGTTAAGTTTAGAACGTATGTACGATGGATGAACTAAACACCCTTAAGATTCGTACAAGGCATTTATGAATAAATATTAATTAATTTGATTGGGACCATAATTAAAAATACGAAAATAATGAATAAAATATACAATTTTTTAACATTTACTTTTGTCAGAAGTACTTTCTACATTAGTTTTCCAAAAATCCAAGTCTATCAATACCACTATCTATAATAAGGTGTGCAAACAAATGTATATTCAGTCTCCCAAAATGTTTGCGAGACATATTGTTTCGGCCCCGTCGTCTGTCTGTCTATCCGTCCGTCCGGTTGTTCGTCTGTCTTTCTGCTTTGAGCTTGTCTGGCTTTCACAGGACAAACTGCTGAAAGGATTTCAACCAAACTTTACAGGAGGTGATCAGTACCATCCTTTATTTAGCACACCGCCGGCATATTTAGCTTCGATGTACACAAAGGCTACCAGACCCATGAATAGAAAAATCTTGTCCAGCTTTCACTGGTCAAACTGCTGTTTGGATAACAACCAAACCTCACCGCTGTACATGCACCAGACATGTCACCATCCATGCCTTTTAAAACTTATTTTGAAGTGATTATTTATCACCATGCAAGAGTCACGGAGTATATAATTATGCTGACTGAAAAAACCCAATAAAGTTGATTTTTAAATCTTAATAAGAAATATCTTTTAAAATTTTAAGTTTAAAATATAAAATATATCCCTTGTTAATATATACACTTTATATAAGGATTTTGAGTCAATGTGAGGTAGGCTCTGCACATCATCTCAGTAATATATATATTTCTGCCGAATAGATTAAATTTCACACTATCAATTTAGTAGAAACAGAGCGAACACAAAATTTTGAAATTGATACAAAATGACTAAGTGTGACCTTGGCCTTGACCTACGGAAAGTCAAAACTACACTCTGCACCTCGTCTCATTATAATTAACATTTGTGTTTGAATTTCCTTTCACTGGTTCAAAAGATACAGACCGGACACAAAAACTCCTATATAAGTCTATATAAATCAATAAATCCCCGAAGTGGGGCCAATTTTAAATGTAGGAAATATGATAAACAAGATCAACAAGGAAAGGCGACGTTCAATGAACGCAACCCCCAGCTTTCAATAGAAAAATCTGTCCGGCTTTCACAGACTAAACATCTGATGGGATTTCATGAAGACCTCACAAGTCCAAACTTGTGTTCTGTATACCGCATTGTTATAAGTAATATTTCTGCTGCCAAAAAGTTTAAATTCTTTCGATCGGTTCAAAAGATACAGAGAGTACCAAAAAAATGTAATATTCAAACAAAATGACTAAGTGTGACCTTGATCTTGACCTGAGAAAGGTCACATCGTCTTATTATGGTTAACAATTCTGCTAAGTAATTTGATTTTCCTTCCAAAGGTTCAGAAAATACAGAACGGCCAAGAAAACTTGATAACAGACGTACGGACGACAACCAGGTGCATAGCTATGTACGCCGAAATTCAGGCGTATAAAATATTAATCGGCAATCACAGGTCAAACTGCTGGTGCGATTGCGACATAACTTAGTGATTAGTACCATACCTTGTTAAGCATATGGCCATCGCGTCCGGCTTCGCTGCACAAAATGGCTGCCAGAGCTATACAAAGAAAAAGCTTGCCCGGTTTTCACAGGTCAAACTCTTTGCCAGTTTTCATCGAAACTTTACAGGAGTGATCATCCTTAGTTATGCATATAGCCGGTACGTTTCTCTTTCATCAGTAATTTCCACTGGATCTATAAATAGTAAAATATTGTCCTGCTTTCATAGGTCAAACTGCTGGCGGGATTTCAATGAAACTTCACCGGAGTGTTAAGTATCATAATATTAGTGCATATCGCCGCCTGCACAAAATGGTCACCAGAGCTAAGTCCAAGAAAATCTTGTCCAGCTTTCCCAGGTCAAACTCCTTGCGAGATTTCAATAAATTTTACAAAAAAAAATCGGTACCAACCGTCATCCTGCACATTATTGGCATGTTCCGCTTTGCTGCACTATATGGCCACCAGAGCTTTAAATAGAACACTCTTATGCGGCTTTGAACTTTAACTCTGGCATGATTTTAATGAAAATTCAAAGGAATGATCAGTACCATACCTAGTTGTGCATATCGCGGGCACGTTATGGTTTGCTCTTCAAAATGGCCACCAGATCTTTCAATAGAAAAATCTGTCCGGCTTTCACAGACTAAACATCTGATGGGATTTCATGAAGAACTCACAGGAGTTATCAGTACCATGCTTTGTTTTTGGCGACACCTTCTAGTCAATATTTTCACTATCAATTGCATTCACTTGCACATCCATTCATTCGGATGAATTCCGTTTATGTTATCTCATTCACTCTCATTTTTAACTGTTAGAAAAACAAATTACCTCTATACTACTAACGAGATCTTAATTTTGCTAAAATAGAGGGAAATATAATCTTTAAAGACAATCCAAAACTACAGCATTTTCAGTACTGAAATGTGCAAGCTCCTGTCCACGCCCCTTATCATCGGCTTATGAAGTTTTTCAACATTTAAAAATGTGATGGTAAAATTTTGAACTAAGAACATTTGTTCATCTCAAAGACACAAATTTATAATGCTACTTCATTTAAGGAAGACGATATTTTTAGCCTTTCCTGAAAACAGTTTTCTGCTATTTATCAAAAAATATTGCCACGGTCAATGTTAAGATGCAAATATCTTAGTTTCTATATTGACGTTTGGTAAACAAACTTTATTTCACTCTTAACGAAACTAACCATTGGAACATACAATGATTTAGTTTCTTATAATATGAGGCTTTAAAACAAGAAACTTGACTTAAGAATTTGTATGATTAAACATCTTACTATCTCATATTTTACCCAGGCTTAATTGATATGCCGCTTTTAATTGCTTTGTTTCATACGGTTATTTTTCCAAATCCTTATTTTCATTTACATGTAGATCTAAGCAGCTGTAAATTCCTAACTTTATTGTTATAAATAGCTAAATGCTGAAAATCATAGCTATGACAAGACTATTAGGTATCAATTGTTTGTTATGTTGTCGTGTTTTGACGCCAATTTGAATACATTTTTGTTCAATATTAATGCAGAACAATAAACAACTCGTGGGCAATTACTAAAGACGAAACTCCAAACCGGTGTAAAGTAGCCGATGTACACCACCCAGACCAAAATCATTTCTTTATTGGAATAGCGAATAAACTTAACAATTGTTGATGTATTCACGCACCCTTATATTCAATGACAGAAGCAAAATGTACAATAGTAATAAAAAATAAAAAACATAATATTATTCCGTCATATTAACGGACTTAACGCGACATGTATATAAGCAAACATCAAAATTGAAATTCAACTTTAATGAAATACAAAAATAGATATGACTAGCATAACCACTTTTCTTGTTTGCATTATATGTTTTCTTACATATAAGTATGCAAAAACTTAAAATGCACAAATTATTTTATAAGGACGATTATACGTCGAAATCATTGAACATAATGAAATGATTTGCATTTTGCAGTAGTTAAAGTAAAAAACATTAAATACTCGTATTAACAAATTTTTTTAAATTAAACAAATTTTAGTGACTGAGGCTATAACAGTGTTATAGATGACAATGCTTAATACAAGTATATGAATGCTGATAATGACAATACTTAGTTATATTAATGCTTTTTGTGATTCTTACCCTACCTTCCAAAATAACTATTTGAAAAATGAATGATCTAAAGCAAATTTGACCTGTATTTTTAAGACCGTTCAAGTATGTATATATATATATGTCTGTTTCAATCAATTTCCTTATTCTAGGATTAACACCTTCATTTCAGATAAGACAGGCAGGGACCATAACTATTGTTACGGAACAAATTATGTTTCAATTTCTGTTGGTGTCACTGTGTCATATTAACATATAGATGCACTTTCAAGTGGTTTGTTTATACGCAATAAACATTTTAATTGTTTTATTATAGTTATGTCTAATAAAAAGCTTCGACCCTCTGACTTCAAAATCAATCTTGGTAATATGCTAGTCATTACCAATTACACACCACATATTAGGCCTGTAGGCCAAAGTGTTCTCTTGTTATTTGTCGGAGCATTGCCCTGATACCTATCATCAATATGGTTCATCTACTTCATCCCAAATTGATAAAATGTATGCCGATGCTTGGTCATACAAGCCTTCAATTGACTTTTGACTGTATGATCTCAAACCAATAGGTTGTCATCTATTTGTCATGACAGATATTGCAAATTATTCTTAGGATTGTAAATAAAAGCCATTCTGTAGGTATTGGTCTTGTAAAGGCCTTGGTAACCTTTCTCTTGACCAAATACTCACAAAATAAATAGATAAATAATATTTCATGATTAGTCTCCTTACCAAATCTTAGGATTTGCCACTGGCCTGTAGTCTAGGGGTCAACGGTTGATTGTCGATAATTTTATAAAAGAAGTTATCAAATTGTTAATACGCTGACCTCTAGCTTTGAATCTTCGTTTAATGTTAATATAATGCAACCCACATTGGCCCAACTCAACAGTGCCAAACGGTGATTTTAGAGTAAATATTTAGCAGAAAATTATCCTCTAGAAGTCTATCACAACACAATG